CATCAGCAAATGAAAGCTAGCTAGCAACATGAGGCACTTTAACTTTTAAACCAGCAACCCTTAGTGACATGACCCATTTTAGCCATTAATGCAACAAGTATAGGTAATAGGAAAGTACCTCCTAAAAGATAGTTGGTTTTGTGGGATAAAAGTTCTATGGCTAAAAGAAGAAAAGTCTATTGCTAATGTCATTGGTTTGTCCAGTGCTTTCTGGGATACTTCCCCTTTACTATTATCACTCTTATTATAGAAATTTTTCATTTTCCCTTTTTTATTCCTTCCAGATCTACATTTTAACACCCACACATTCAATCTATCCCTTCCATAAACTGAATGTTTATTTTAATAACCACCCATAGGATTGCCATCTTTACTAAAATACATAAGCTACATATTTTATGTACATACAAATATTTAGGGGAATAATAGTAATGAAAGTAGCATACCTCATCGAAGATGACATATCTCATCCTTTTCACCCACTTTTGATTACGAGGTGATAACAAGAGTATTTCCAAGCACTGAGGCACTGTCACCAATATCTGTTTTTTTTAAAAAAGGAAACAATTGACTTGATTTTTTTAATCTCAAGCTTTAACTTCTTATTATTGTTGACATTATTACAGATGTCTCCCATTTCCTCTCTTTTCTCCCCTCCACTCAGACCCCACCCTTCCCTTCCTTTTAAACATCAATAAAATATTTAGATGACACAGTATGTTCATATAAGCATTTCCATTAAAACAACCATCTCATCTGTGGAAAAATAAAACAAATGTGAGTAACAAATGTATGTTGATATATTGAAATAGTTAAGCTTATTTCATTAAGAAACATTCTCCCACATAGTACATTGGGAATATAAAATCATCACAGTTTGAAACCATCACCATTGAAATATTTGAAATTTCATCATATTGAAATTTCAGAAAAGCATGTTATTTATTATAGAAAATACAATTTATTGAAAGTTAACCACTTTATTAAGTAAAAATTATATAAACAATGTTAAAATATAAATATATTTCATAGGGTAATTGTAAATTTAATTTATCCTCACATTAAAACTTTGTAGTGCCTACCAAAGTGCCTTAATACGCATTATTATTTATTATGCACTCACGTCGGTGACATACCTGACAATTCAAGGTATCATGACGGTAATCTCTGGTAAACACTCCACACACCACTAGTCCTTTTGGCAGTGCTTTGGTAAATAGACTGCAGATAGTTCCTACCACTTGATTAACAAGAGCCTTAAATCATAAAAGACACAATGTGCTATTCAGTAATTATTGACAACACTGAACAAATTGTTTAAAGTAAACAAGTATCTGGAACAACTTACAAGCAAAAAGTACAGTACCAATTTTATGTAACTCTTCCTTTTTTTTCTTTAATCCTTACCCAAGGATATTTTTCCATTGATTTTTAGAGAGAGTGGAAGGAGGTAGGGGGAGAGACAGAGAGAGAGAAACATTTATGTGAGAGAGACACATCAGTTGGTTGCCTCCCGACTAGGGCCAGGGATCGAACCTACAACCAAGGTACATGACCTTGACCAGAATTGAACCTGGGACCCTTCAGTCTGAGGGCCGATGCTCTATCCACTAAGCCAAAGAGGCTAGGGCTATAACTCTTTATATATATAGAAAGGCCTATATTCACACAATAGGCCTTCCTTCCCCTGGCTGCTGGCACCAGTTTTCCTCCAGCACCCGGGACCTAGGCCTTTGGTCCGGCCGCAGCGAGGCTTGGCTTCTCCGCTGTGGCCCCAGAGAGCCTTGGCTTCAGTCTTCAGTCTTCACACCGCCCAGACCCTTCAGTCTTCGCTCCGCGCCTGTGTATGCAAATTAACTGCCATCTTTGTTGGGTTAATTTGCATAGTCACTCTGATTGGCTAGTGGGCGTAGTGGAGTGACACCAATTTGTATGTTTCTCTTTTATTAATATATATATATATATTTTCTATTGATTTCAGAGAAGAAGAGAGAGGGAGAGAGAGATGGAAATAGCAATGATGAGAGAGAACCATTAATTGGCTGCCTCCTGCACACCCCACACTGAGGATTGAGCCTGCAACCCAGGCATGTGCCTTGACTGGAATCATGGATAACAAAAACTATGGAAAGCAAAACCATGGATAAGGGGGGACTACTGTAAAATGTAAGCATTATTATCCTCTTTTTACAGGTAGAGAAACTGAGGTAAGAACCTAGCTCAAGACCACACAACCCAAGCACTCACATCCATGACTGCAATGCTGGAGTCTGTATGCTCTCGTACCTCCCCAGAACTAAGAGCACAAACTATAGTTGAGGAAAATTACAGTAAGATAAAAGTGTCATATGCACACAATACCTTTGTTGGAGCAACATACACAATCACCCCTTCATCACTCTCTCTCAGGATTTTCTCCATGCAGTAGTAAGAAGCATAGGTTTTCCCTGATGATGTTGGGGCAACAATTACAGCAGATTCATTGTTATCTACCACGTCAAGAAGTTCCCTCTAGATTTAAAAACAAACAAACACATTTCATTTTGAAAATATATACTTAGTGTCAAATTTTAATTTAAAAACAACTATATTTCAGGCAAATTGGTATTCACAGTTCCTTCTGAGACACAGTAGGGTACAGGATGGCATAGATGCAGAGAACGGACTGACAGCTGTCAGAGGGGAAGGGGAGGGGTGCTGGGTGAAAAAATGAAGGGATTAAGCAAAAAAGAAATAAATAAACATCATAGACAGATAACAGTATGGTGATTACCAAAGGGAAATGGGGTGGGGGAGGTAGAGAGAGTGAAGGGGAGTAAATGATGATGGAAGGACACTTGACTTGGGGTGGTGAACACACAATGTGATGTGAACCAACTGTTTCCATCGAGTTTCCTCACTTTTCCACGCTGCAGATCTTTTCAGGAAATACCTGCCATGTGTCTGGTATAAAATGATGCACCCTGGGATCTGGATCACTTCTTTCTTCTCGAAGTAAGTAATGGCCCATATATGTTAACTGAAACCGAGCTGCTCCCATACAAACTGAATATTTAGAAATATCCTTCTCAGCACTTGATTCCTGTACCTAAGTAAATATGACATATTAGATTTTCATGTTTACAATTTTTACCCTGGGCAAGGAAATTACCAATCATGGTGTAGTTTGCTTCAACAAGATTATTTTATGTTTTACAAGTGTTCAGCATTAGCAGTGAAGAGTAAGATATAGATACTATATCTTTACTATAATTTTAGATACTATTTTATGTGCAGTACCATGTTTTACAGAATGTAAGTAAAATGCAGTATGAAGTTAATCTTTTATTTATAAATCAGCATAAACTTTGAATATTGTTATATATGAACAATTCCCTACACACACACACATACACATATACAGAATAAAATATGTGTTTAAATTGAGGACCATAGCACCCCTAGTGCAAATAAAACATTTATTCTATGTAAAAACACACCCATAAAAATTATTAGATCTGTGTCTATACAGGATGATACATAGCTAATCATCGATTTAATCTAATAGACATTAATTCTGAATACATCCCATAGGATATTTTACACACACACATATATGAATGTCACATAATATTTTCTATAGCACCTACCTGAGGATATAAAGCGTGTGCCAAGTTGTCAAATCCAACGTATTTTAAATATTTAGCTAATTTTCGTCGATCTGTATTTTTTAATAGTTCTGAATGCTTTTCATGGATTATATGAATCCATTTCATCAAGTTAATTATTATGTTCATATCTCTGGATTCTATTTCTGTTTAAAAGAAACATTGTCATATATAACAAGTTATACAAGATATTGATAATAAAACCCCAAAGCTGATTTAACTTTTTTGCAGGATAAGAAAAGCATAATCATATGAATCACTGATAATAACTGAGGAATTCATAGTTTCTAGTCAATTACATTGCAGTGAAGAGCGTGGCCTCAAGTAAGAGTAGGATTGCCAGCCTCAGCAAATAAAAATACAGGTGATAAAATTTGAGATATATATTCATGACATTTACTTACAGTAAAAAAAAATTGCTATTTATCTGAAATTCAATTTTAACCTGCCTGTATTTGATTTAGGAACTTCAAAAGTTCCATTTCTAAACTTCATTTTCTTTATATAGAAATTGGGGACATTAAGTCTCACCTCATATGGTTACTATAAGGATTAAATAAATTAATTTATATAAAATGATACAATAATGGCAGCAGTTATTATTAACCATAAGAAATAATATGGAAAATGAATGAATGGACATTTTTTAATTCTTCTTGTTGTTATTAATCCTCTCCCAAGAATATTTTTTCCATTGATTTTTTAGAGAGAGTGGAAGGGAGAGAGGGAAACATTAATGTAATAGAGACACATCAATTGGTTGCCTCTTACATGTGACCCACAAGGGCCGGGATTGAACCTGCAACCCAAGTAGGTGCCCTTGACCAGGAATCAAACCCTCAACCCTTCGGTGAGCAGGCCGATGCTCTAACCACTTAGCGCACCAGCCAGGGCAACATTTTTTTTTTCTTTTAGTATTTACTTTCCTGTGAACACAATTAAAAGATAAATATCTTTCATTTTCTCTCCAATCAAAAATATTCATTCTTTGGTTCTCATCCAAACACTGTTGTGCCCAAATTTACTAATTATTTAATTTGTGCATACCTCTTGGAATAAGGATGTTGTATTAAAGTTCTTGCTCTGTCACTGACATTTGGGCATGTAATTTGTACTCCTAGAACCTCAATTTCTTACATGTAATATTAGGGTAATGGAACCACCTCAGAGAATTGTGACAATTTATATACATATACAAGACGTCCCCCCCAAAATGTATAACACTTTAGCAACTAATAGCTCAATTTTGAAAATGCAATGCATTTTAATAAACACTGCCTTTATAATTATTAAAAAATGTGTATACATTTTTTTGGGACACCCTATATATGCTAGGCCCCTGAATAATATTTTATTCGACATCATTTCATTATAATGTTAACAAGGTGCATTAGGAACTTAACTCCAGTTAATATCAATTAGCCTGTAGTAAAATTAGTTTCACTATACATTGATTTTCTTAAAGTCACAGAACCTACAGATGACTTTACAATGAAAATTTACTGTATATAGATTTGGTTGTGATGATCAACACTATGTTGCAGTTAGTTCAGCATGTGCCTAAGTCCCTTAGGAGACTATCATTAAGCACCTTCAGAGCAGGTCCTATGCTCTTCTGGTCGGAAGCCCATGGACACCTAATAAGGTACTCAGCTCATGACTGACCTTGAAGAACTATTTACTGAATTGAATTTCAGGTAAAATCTATTCACCAATATGCATCACATTCACACATAGCCATGTTATTAGTGAATCAAACAAAAGGAAATCTTCTTACCCTTTAGACATCAAGAGTTTCCAAAGGCATACAGGCCAGAAGAATCAGTATATGTGGCCAATATCAACTCTTTTGCTCTGTTCTTACTGACCTTTTATTTCAAGATATTTCTAAAAGTAATATTTTATGTACCTGGTTTTGAACAGCATTCCATCCATAATTTGAAACAGGCATCCAATCCTACCATTTCTGCAGCAAATTCTACAGATTTAACAGGGCATGTTTGGAGAAAATCTAGTTTTTTTATTCCAGAATTAGGATTTTCTTTCATTTCCTTTTCAATATATACTGACAAGTTTTTCCATCTTTCTTCCTCTTTTTTCTCTAGTTTAGCTAGCTGTCTCTTTTGGTTTTCCTCAATAAATTTTTCTGCATTTGTCTTTAAAAAAAATAAGAAAAATCAACAGTAAAACAAATGTTTCCACAATAATACATTTGATTTTTTTTCAATACACAGCTTTTATTGCATCTTTAAAATGTCACAAAGAAGTCTGAGGAATCATTTGGCATCTTGCTGTTTCTACAGCTGGACAGCTTAGATCATATATTCATCAGTCTGCTGAACTGTTCCCTTTTTAGAACATAGATACTACCTGGTTTGCTGAATCAAAGCAGCTAAATTTTATACAAGTCCAATGCCATTTCCTTCAAGAATTAACTCATCTTTCTGAGCTTGAGCTACTCATCTGACCTCTGTAGATATACTTTTCACCCAAGAGATTTCCAATTTCAACAAGAGAACCATCTTCCTAAGTAACAATCTCAATGGGGAAGTGAGTAGACAAAGACCTTGTTCTGTAACTGCCTCAAACTGATTGTCGAACTGCAGTGGGAAGGCCAGGGAGGGTTGGGGGACAGGAGGGAGGGGAGTAAGAGATCAACCGAAGGACTTGTATGCATCCATATAACCATAACTAATGGACATAAGACAATGGGGGGTAAGGGAGGGCAGGGGCTTGTCAAGGGTGGGGGGGGGGGGAAGGACACTTATGTAATACCCTTTGTAATACTTTTAGCGAAAAATAAAAAGAAATAAAAAAAAAAAGACCTTGTTCTGTAAGGGAAGCCCAGTGTAACACCCTTGCTCATGTTCTGTACGTGACTACAGTCAGTGCAAATAGTAGCCACTTCCTCTCTATTTCCCTCTATTTGGACTATCTGGAGCCTCTTCTTTTTCTTTCCAAGGAGACTGAGTTCTACATTGATGTGATTGACGTCCCTTTGCAGGGTGCCTAGGGCCTTTCATAGCAACTGTGTGTTCCTTCACAGCGATGTCCGCATTTTCTGGAATGTTGACAGTCTGATTGCTGAGAATGGTCTTCCTCTTCTCAGTAGATGTGGCAAAGAGAGAACGTCTTTCAATACGATGTTTTTTGAAAGAAGTATTTAATATCTTAAGCCACCAGTTCACTACTTAGCACATTGAAGTAGAGTATCACCGAGGACCTTAGGTGTTCTGAATAATTAAATGTAAACATCTATATTTATACAAGCATGATAATTCAACATTCCCTTCTTCTTTCTATCCTGAGCTTTCACTTTCTTTATTTTTTATTGTTTTTTTAAATATATATTTTATTGATTTCAGAGAGGAAGGGAGAAGAAGAGGAGAGGGAGATAGAAACATCAATGATAAGAGAGAATCACTGATTGGCTGCCTCCTGCATGTCCCGCACTGGGGATCAAGACCACAACCTGCAACCCTGGCATGTACACTGACTGGAAGCAAACCCTGACCTCCTGGTTCATAGATCAATGCTCAACCACTGAACCACATTGGCTGGGCTATTTTTTTTTTAATGGTGACACTATTACAAATGTCCCCCATTTCTCCTGCCCCCACCCCCATCCCTCTGGCCATCACCACCCTGTTGTCCACAGGCTATACATATACAGTATATTCTTTAGCTAATCTCTTTAGCTATTATTTTATTAATCCATATACTGAAAAACAGTCTTCTGGCATTCCAATCTGTGAAGATGGGTCTAAGAAAAACCATTTCAAACGAATATCCAATTAGGATATATATCTTTTATTAAAATAGGCTAAGTGTGGTATAATTACGAAAATTGGCCAGGAGAGTAGCATGCTATGCTTTCAGTGGTTCTCAACCTTCCTAATGCCACGACCCTTTAATACAGTTCCTCATGTTGTGACCCCCAACCATAAAGTTATTTTCATTGCTACTTCATAACTGTAATTTTGCTACTGTTATGAATCGTAATGTAAATATCTGATATGCAGGATATATTTTCATTGTTGGCGACCCACAGGTTGAGAACCGCTGCTTTATAGAAAAACCAGTGTAACTTTTGCTCAGTGATTCCAAGAAGAAAAATAATAAGTCGAAAAGGGATTCAAAGTCATCATGTCTAAAATTGTAATATCTGGACCACAGTATGCAAAAGAGAATGCTGCCACAGCCAATCGCTGTAACAAACTTTCTTGTCCAGAACTCAAGGCATGTCCTTATTTAACTCTCCTTCACCTTCCACCTCCGCAATATGGAGACAACGGACCACCTCAGGAACTCCAGAGTACCAATTAAGTGATGTTAACTCCTCCTGGGAGTGACACAGCCTAAACAGAGGTAAAAAGGTATCCCTGGAGAGAGAGTCTACATCAATAACATCCAGAAAAATGAACTTCCTTAGCTCCAGATAGAGAATAAAGACTAAGAAAATATTTTAAACATATATGACAAAGATGTGATGCTGTAAATAGCTCTTAGCAATGAATAAGCAATAGTAAAGGACATAAAAGAAATTCATAGGAGAACAAACACAAGTGGACTCAAAATTTCAGAAAGATGCTCATATCACTGGTGTTGAAAGAATTGAGATTAAAACCTCTGATTGGGAGGAATAAAGAAGAAAACAAGCACTCTCATACACTGATGATGCTAATCATTATAGCTGAGTGGATAAACAGGCAGGTTCTCAGGTACATCCTGGGTTGATGACTCACTATGTAACTCAGCACAGTGTTTTTCACATTAGAGTTTGATAACTCAATAACGTATTATTATTTGTATTAATGTTAAAATAAGAATAAAATTTTGGACAGCCCTCTTATATGAGAATGTATATTAAAATGAATATCAAATATATATCAAAAGCCCTAAAATTTTTCATAGTCTTTGATCCAACAATTCTCTAAGTAATTAAAAAACTGTAGAGAGATTCTGATAAAATTATGTTTATCACAGCACAGGTTATAATGGTAAAATAATGGAAACATAAATATTAAAAATGGAAAGATAAATATATTATGGAATATTAAGAAAAATATTTTTTAAAGTTTATTCCTAGCTCATTGAAATAAAAAGTTCTTCAAAACACATTAATAGGAAAAAATTATAAAACCATATGTAAATTTTAAAATTGTTTGTGTGTATATTTGCCAGGCAATAGGGATGAGGGGGATGGGTAGAGATGAAAGAGGGTATAGGAGGATAAATTGAGATGGAAATGAATAAATAAGTAAGTAAGTAAGTAAGTAAGTAAATAAATAAATAATAACTTATACAACTCAACACCAGGAAGATATACAATTTAACTTAAAAAATGGACAAATGACCAGGCTGGTGTTGCACAGTGGTACAGGATTGACCTATGAACCAGGAGGTCATGGTTTGATTCCCAGTCAGGGCACAAGCCCAGGTTGCAGGCTTTATTCCCAGTGTGTTGTATGCAGAAGGCAGCCAATAGATGATTCTCTGTCATCACTGATGCTTGTATCTCTCTCTCCCTCTCCCTTCCTTTCTGAAATCAATAACAAAAATATATTTTTTAAATGAATAAAGGACCTGAATATACACATCTCCAAAGAGGACATACTGATGGCCAATAGACATATGAAAAATGCTCAATGTCACTAATCATCAGAGAGATGCAAGTTAAAACCACAATGAGATATCACCTCACACCTGCCAGAATGCTACCATCAGTAAATCAGCAAACAATAGCGCTGGCAAGGATGTGGAGACAATGGAACCCTACTGCACTGCTGGTGGGAATGCAGATTGGTGCAGCAACTGTGGAAAACAGTATGGAGTTACTTCAAAAAATTGAAAATGGAGCCCTGGATGGTGTACCAAAAGGTTACCCCTGAAATTGCTGGTCAGGGTATATGTCCAGGTTTTGCACTCGATTCCCTATGGGGGAAGTGCAGGAGGCAGATGATCGATGTTCTGCTCTCACACTGATGTTTCTCTCTCTCCCTCTCTCTCTCTAAAAAATTAATAAAAATAATATTTTAAATTAAAAATGGAACTGCCTTTTGACCCAGCAATCCCACTTCTGGGAATATATCCTAAGAATCCTGAAACACCAATCAGAAAGAATATATGCATCCCTATGTTCATAGCAGTGTTATTTACAACTAGTGACCCGGTGCATGGATTCGTGTACATTGAAAGGAAATTAACTAGAAGGTGGCCTGGGGGTGAGACTAGGTGAGATGGGCTGGACATGGCCTGGAGCCAACCTCCCGCAGTCCCTCCCCGGCATCTGTGAAGTGAGCAGGGTCCCTCTGACAGGTGGGGTCCTTGGGCCTGGCCTGTGGGGATCAGGTCAAAAATGGCTCTTCGACATCCTCCAAGGGGTCCCAGAGTGAGAGAGGGCACTCTGCAAAGTTTCTATTGTCCAGGATGTGGAACACAAATGCAAGTGTGTAGTAAACCAGATTCAGGGCCAACAGTGCCCCAGCAACAACATAACCCATGACCAAAGGTGGAATCGGGCTCCCTCCTCTATGGTTTTGGGGTGAGTCACCTGAGAACCACTGCTGCAAAGTCACTGCAGCTCTGCAGCTCCTGTGTTGAGTGTCTGCCCCTTGGTGGTCAGTGTGCATCATAGTGACCAGTTGGACCGGTAGGAGAGACACTTAGCCTTTTATATATATAGATAGATAGCTAAGATCTGGAAACAGCCTGAATGTCCATCAGTACATCTATGGATATAAAGAGGTAATATGCAAATTAGGCTGAGATGCCATAACAGTCACGATCAGTCAGGAGGAGGTTATGACACGCAGATGAGGCTCAGAGCGTAGATGGAGACAGAGACAGGGGGGCCTGCCCGAGCCTGCATGGCAGCTTGGGCAGCCCGGAGCAGACACAGGCAGTGGGGCAGGGGGTCCTGGGGCTGGCCGAGCTGCCACACCAGCTTCGGTGGCCCCAGAGCGGACACAGGCAGGGGGACATGGGGGGTCTGGGGAGGAAGTCAGGCCGGGTCCCGGCTGCCACCACGCCAGTCAGGCCTAACTTCCATGGTGGCCTGAGTAGTAGGCAGAGGACAGACCACTGAGGGTCTTATATACCATAGCAGGGAGCTTAGATTTTATTCCACAGAAGGAGGAAAAGTGAAGAATGTCAAGCATGGGAGCATCCTGGTCTTGCTTTCCTTTCAAATGAACCATTCTGGTGGCTGTGGGGAGGATCAATTTAGACAGTTGCAGTGTTTTGGGGCCCAAGAAAAAGAGAGACTGATGTTTGGAACTAGGACTAGACAGAGGCAGTGGATCACAGACATATTTATGAGGAAATCTGACGGAACTATTTGGCTGATTACACAGGGATGAAAGCAAACAAAGCAAATGGTATTAGCCCAGGTTTCCAGTTTGGGCAACTTCATTGAATGGGTGATTCTAATAATTGGGAGAAGGTATTGAGGAAAAGGAACAGTGTAAGGGAGCTTGTTTAGTTCAGCAATAGCCAAACAATTAGGACAGAAGACAGACTTAGTTAGTGCTCTTTCTTTGCTGAAACGTTTGTTTTTCTGCCTTTAGCCACCACCATGGAAGGCTAATATGCCATCTTTTCTCCTAATCTAGGATATTATCTATCTATCTACTACACATTCCTATCACCTAAATTAGATCTCCTGCATGATCCCTTAAAAATACTTATCAAAGTCATTCAATGCTCTGTGAGTATGGGGACTTTCAAGATGTGGAAATATTATGAGCCTATATAGATTGATAAAGAGAAATTGGGTGCTCAATTTTTAACAATAAAAATCAAATACTGAATGTGGTCATGCCAGAGGCATAATTTTAATGAGCCAATTTCTCTTTACTGAAGTGTCACACTTCAAAAGAGATCCTCTCAAATAATACAATGCATAACACTCATCTGGGTTGCCTGTTAAAATGTAGGACCACACCTTGAAAAACACTCCTTCTAGAGCTCATTTTGGTGGATAAATCTCCCTCCAAGTAAAGCAATCCTATATAATAAAAGTGTAATATGAAAATCAACCAAACAGCAGAACAACTGGTCAGTGGGGGGCGGGGCCAGCGAGCAGGTATTGCCAGGCCAGCCAAGGCGTATGCCAGCAGGCAGAGGGAGGGGATGGTGATGGGGTGGGGGGTGGCAACCAGAGGTGACAGGGCGATGGGGGCTGGCGCTATCCCATGATCGCCCACCTGGTTGCCTCCCGCAGAGGAAGGCCACAGGCGGCAGCAGCAGAGGGGCGATTCGGGGCAGGGCCACCCAGCACCATCCCAAGATAGGCCTGCTGGGGTCGCCTTACCCAGAGGGAGGCCACCAGTGGCCATCGTGCAATTGGGGGCAGGGCCGGCCACTCGCTGCTCACACCATCCCAATCAGCCCACCGGTCACCTCCCACAGAGGGAGGACAGACTGTGGCTTAGGCCCGCTCCCCACTCTCCTAAGTCATCAGTAGGACATCCCCAAGGGGTCTCCAATTGGAGAGGGTTCAGGGTAGGCTGAGGGAACCCCCATTGCATGAATTTCGTGCACCAGGCCACTAGTGAGTAGATAAAAAAGCTATGGTACATTTACACAATGGAATACTCACAGCCTTAAAAAAGAAGAAAATCTTTTTTGTAATAGCGTGGATGGAGCTGGAGAGTATTATGCTAAAGTGAAATAATTCAATCAGAGAAAAACAGATATCATATGATCTCACTTATATGGAAAGTCTAATGAACAAAATGAATTGATGAACAAAATAGAAACAAAGGCGTGGATACATGGAACAAAATGACAGCTAGCAGAGGGGAAGGAGGTGATGGGGACTGAATGAAAGAAGGTGAGTAGATTAACTCAAGAACATATATGCATAATCCATAGATACAGACAAAAATGTGGTGATGGTCAGAGGGGAGAGGGTAGGGTACGTGGAGATGGGAAAAGTGGGGGGAAAGGGACATCTGTAATAGTATCAGCCATAATAATAACGAAAAAAGTATTTTTTTTAAAAATGTAACTGTGGGAGTGTGGCACAATTTTATTGATTTTGTGATACTTTTCTAGATAATCTAAATTTACCAAATGTGTTTGACCTTTATAATCTTTTTTAAAAAGCTGTTTAAATTTTCAAAACAATGTGCTATTATGAAAGCACATTTAATGACACAGAAAAATGATCACTTTATATTGATAGGTGGGGAAATAAAAGTATATAGGGGGACTTTTTTGTAAAAAAAAAAAAGCACATAATAAAAATGAAACTTTGTAGGTCAATATGTTAATAGTGTTTATCTGTGGAATGTGAGTATAAACGTTTCTTTTCTCCCCTTTTTTCTTACCTGTTTTTCTACATTTCAAAATAAATCATTAAACAAAAATATAGCATGCCATACTATAGATTATACAGCCACAAAAATGTGTTTAAAAAAATTTTAATAACAGGAAGGGAAAATGACTACAGGAAATGCACTAAAATGTTAAAGTCCTATTAGGATTTTAAATATATATATATATATATATATACATATATATATATATATATATTTCAGAGAGGAAAGGAGAGGGAGAGAAAGATGAGAGCGAATCATTGATTGGCTGTCTCCTGCATGCCCTCTATTAGGAATCGAGCCCACAACCTTGGCCTATGCTCTGACTGGGAATTGAGCCATGAACTTCTGGTTCATAGGTTGACACTCAATGACTGAGCTACACAGGCCAGGCATCATTACACTTTTTTCCCCCATTTTACAAGTATTTTAAAAGTATCTTTGTAATTTGTGGTTAGTATTTAGAGTATACTTGATTTGACAGTTATAATTTATTTTTAGAAAATGGGGTTTTTTACTTCTCTGATAACACATGTGCACAATGATGGATATTGTTAATGAAGATCCCATATGGAATGAGTTGAACTGTAGGCTCCTCACAAGACCTAATAGATCAAGAATGTACCTGGTGTTTTTTTTTCTTTTGTACTGAAGAATTTTCTGGAGGTGGCAGAGCACTTCCTCTTGTAATCCTTATTGATTTGTTGCTTCCTACCAAAGATTTTCCAAAGACATGATAAAAATGATGTAATTTCTGCACGTTCCTTCTTTCTTTGACATCTTTGGATTTAGCTATAGGAAATAAATACATCATGAAAATATGCTGACAGTGCTCTTTATAAATAAGAATTTCATTTAGAAAGCATTTTTGAAAAAGGCTTTGACAAACACTTGCAAACACTTAAAACTTGCACTAATTATAGACACGTTAGAGATTGAGATAGAGAAACTCAAATTATTTGAGCCATATTTAAATAACATGGTACAATCTAAATCAGTGTCTTGTCATTTTCACTTTAGTACAACCTACTAGGCATTATGGGTACATCCCATAGAATAAGTCAATGATGAGCTTACACTTTCCTTTTCTTCTAGGACATCAGAACCATAAAAGTAACTTTAGCTCTCTGGGCATAGTGTCGAGAACAAAGGACGTGAACACTCCGGAAGAGCTTCCAATTTAGAAACAGGGTCTCTGAAAACCACCCCCAAATTAGGTCAGAAACATTTGGCTAAAACAGCTAATCAAATTCCAGGAAATGTGCAGCAGTACTGCACACAACTAAAAGGAATTTATCGTTCTCCATGCTGCTGCCGGAGTAAATATAACCCAATCGTGTTGCTCATGTGGTTTGAACATCTTAGTGGCTTCCTGTTGCTCATCTATCATTCAGAATCCGCACTAAAGGCTGCATGGTTCAGACCCATCTCACATCACTCTCTGTGCTACAGGCCCTCTGGCTACTTCCTTATTGGCCCCCACCACTACCACACACCTGCATAACTATCTTCATCTCTCAGATTTGGTTTGAAAATTCCTCAATCCCTCAAGTCTACCCTTGGTATACCCTTTGCACCTGATTGTCATAATAATCTCTATATATAAAAGGCTAATATGCCAAGTGTCCCCTCAGGAGCTCAACCAGGAGACCGGGAGTTCGATCACTTGCTATTATGTTTGCTAACCACAAGGGGGTGGCACGAAATGAAGGAAGGCCCCGGCTGGCAGCCGGAAGGCCCCAATTGGCCCTGATCACCAGCCAGGCCTAGGGACCCTACCCATGCACGAATTTCATGCACCAGGCCTCTAGTTTTAAATAAGTATCTCTGCAGTGGTTTGTTTAACATCTTCTATTCCTGCTAAACTGTGAGCACTACAAGAGCAGGAATATATCTTTCATGTTCCCTGCTGGATTCCCGGAGCCCAGCCCAAAACTAGGCACACAGTAACTCTCAATTCATAGGATAGATACTGAATGAGTATGTCAGAGTCCTGCAATACCAATCCAGCTGCCACTTCCCAATCTATAGGGAATCCTAATGGTATACAACTGATTTTTTTAATTTTTCCTAAACTCCTTTCCTGTACCAGTTTTCAATCCAAGAAGATAACAAGATTAGAGAACTATAGTGGCCCATAATATTTAATTGCCAAATTAATTACTAAATCATTTGAATATCTGTTACTTATTTCACTTAATTAATAATTATTAAATAGCATTTTAAAGCAAATAATATAATTAGCAATTTGGACAAACAATGAAAATATAATGTGATTAATGAAGGTATTAGGTCTCATGAGATAATACAACAGGAAACTTTGAGAAGAACAAATAATTAAAGATACATTAATAATAATATAAAGTAATTTGTTGTAGGAACCTAAGAAAAAATTTTAAAAGATTCCCCATCTCAACAAAACAACTCCCCCACCCCAATTAGACTGATTGGAATCTCATTTTTCATATTATAGAAGCCAGTTCTTCCTGGTTCTAATGTAAAAGATGTTGGAAATTTGTATGCTGGCCTGAGAGAGAGAAGAAGACTATAAATTAGATTTCACTAATCTCTGATCACTCATTTTTTCTTATACATTAGATACAATTTAATCTATAAGAATGTTGAAAATGTTGATGATATTAGTTGTACTTACCGTCACTGTTGCACTTTGTCCTTTCAAAATCATCACTGAGAGGTCTAGAAGAATGCCAGTGTGTGAGTTCATCAAATTCTTCCTTCTTAGAAAGAGATGTAACAGCTGGGTCATCACTAGGAATACAATAAAAAGGCATACATTATAATACACATATAATTTTTTTCAGTTTCTACTATAAGCCATGAACTTATTTAATGGGTCTCTACCCTTAATTTTATGATTATAAATGAACAAAATATATTTTAAAACAATGCATCTCATGAAGAAATAGTCAAGAAGTGTAGAGAGCGCAGGGGAAGGCACATGGGTATTTCTTTAATTATTGTCAGCTGAAGCCAGTGGCATTGGCAAAGCCACATCCTGGAAACACATTTTGCCAAAAGGCAGGAGTGTTGTCAGCTTGACCTTCAGCCCAGGTGCCAGGGGGTGGGTTTTGTTATTTAAATCCAGCCGAGCACCAGGAATGAATACGACTCAGGCCCACCCAAGAATGCACATAATCTCCTTTGTCTTGACTTTTAGTAAAACTTCCTGTTTTTTGCGGTATAAAATAAATACACTGTACTGGCTCAGGGTCACTGTCTCTGTCCCTGTCCGGATCAGAGGACAGTGGTCCCACCCAGCCCCAGCATTTTTCCTTCCATCTCTGTGTCTGTCTCTTTCTTTCATTTTCTCAATCCCCAGCCGCCCCTTCTCAGGAACCAGACTGCTCTCTAGCTGCACTGGACACGGAGAAGAGAGACATATTTACAAAGCAGTGGACAAGGATATCTGTAGCACTGTCATCTCTATAACAATAAAAAGTGCATCTTAAGAATTTATTTGTATATAGGAATGAATTAGGCACCAAATAACAATAAAGGGTATATAGCATCATCTATAAGATATGAAATTTCTAAAGTTGAGAGACAGTTCTGGATTATTTTAGCTTGTTTGTGTGTATGTGCATGTACTTGTACAATATTTCAAGCATAGAGAAAAACAGTTAGAGAGTAAGTGATATGCATGAACCAAGATATTCACTGAGTTCCTGTTTTGTGCCAGATACTCTTCTAGATGCTAAGAATATGTTAATGAGCAAAACAGACTTTTAAAAAATGTCTGTGGATTTTATACATAAACAGGATTGCAAAGAACAAAGAAATACTAATATAAAGGTAAAAAATGATCATGCATCACTTAAGTGATAGGAAACATCCTAAGAAATGCCTTGTTAAACAATGTCCTCATTGTATGAACATCATAGAAAGCACTTTGCCCAGCCAGTGTGGCTCAGTGGTTGAGCATCGACCTATGCATCAACAGGTCACAGGTTCGATTCTCAGGGCACATGCCCGGGTTTCGGGCTTGATTTCCCAGTAGGGGGCATGCAGGAGGCAGCTGGTCCATGCTTCACTCTCATCATTGACATTTCTCTTTCTCCTTCTCCTTTCCTCTCTTTCTAAAATAAATAAAAACAATTTTTTTAAAAAAAGAAAGCACTTATACAAACCTAGATGGCACCTAGGTATATGGTATAAGCTATTGCTCCTCAGCTACAAACATGTTTGTAGCATGTACCGAATTATAACACAATGGTAAGTATTTCTGTATCTAAATGCTTCTAAACACTTGCAGGGACAGGAAGAGGACCATGGAGGGAGGTGCCTTCAGAAGGAAAATAGATGCCAGGAAGAGGAAAGAAGAGTAGGGGACATAAAAGGAGAGCAGAGATAAAAAACAACCCAGAGATAAGTTTAAGAAGAGAAATAATAAAAAGGAAAGGCGGAGGGAGAAAGAGCAGAAAGGGACTGGGAGGAAAGAGATAACGAGAAAATGAAGGGAAATGAGTTCGTGTGCACGTGTGTGTGTGTGTGTGTTTGCAGGGACTGGGTCATGGGAAGGGCAGGCTCCTGGCTGCCCTCCTCCCCAGCCCACTCTTCTCACTCCCTTGCCATCTCAGGGCCACAGCCTTGGGGAGGAACCGGACAGCATGCTGAGCCTCCTTGTCTATTTAAACTACTCAGAGCCTGCAGTAAGTTCAACATCATAGTTGTGGATGGTCTAGTCTTTTCTTTCAGCATTACAAACGTTTTGCTTATAATCCATTAAAATATTACAAGACCCCTGTTGTATATGAAGCCATCGTTGACTGAACTGTCATTACTCTACATACTATGCCAGATGGTGAAAAGCATGAAGGAACAAAAATAAAGCAGGGAGACAGGATTGTGAGTTCTGGGAGGAGGAGATGGTGTGATCTTAAGAGGAATTGTCAGGAAAAGCTTTGCTAGGAAGGTATTTGAGCAATGGGTAAAGGGTTGTCCGAGTCAGCATGTTTTGAACAAATAGAACAGCAAGTAGATAGGCTTGAGGTGGGAGTATTGTATTCAAGATACACAATAGCCAAGACATGGAAACAATGTAAGTCCATTAACCGATGCATGGACAGAAAATGAGATAAACAGATAGATGGTAGATGGATAGATAGATAGATAGATAGATAGATAAATTTATAGATAGATATACATGCACAGTAGAATATTACTCAGCCATCAAAAAGAAAGAAATTCTGCCATTTGAGACAACATGTATAGACCTAGAGGGCATTATGCTAAGTGAAATAAGTCAGACAGAAAAAAACAAATACCATATGACCTCACTGCTTTACGGAATTAAAAAAAAAAAAAGCCAAGCTCATAGAAACAGAATGGTAGTTGCCAGGGGTTGGGGATTGGGGAAATGGGAAGATATTGGTCAAAGGATGCCAACTTCTAGTTATAAGAGGAATAAGCTCTGGGAATGTAATGTACAGCATGGTGACTTTAGTTAACAATACTGTATCGTATTCTTGTAAGTTGCTAAGAGAGTAGGTCTTAAATGTTCTCATCACACACACAAAAAGGGCAAAGTGAGGTGGTGACTTGTGTTAACTAACCTTATTGTGATCATCTTGATTTGTGTGTCAAATCATCACACTGTACACCTAAAACTTACACAATGTTACTTATGTCAATTTTCTCTCTATAAGGCTGTGGGTGGGGGAATAGGAGGCCAGCATGGACAGAGCAAGAGAATCTGGGAGTGATTAGTAGGAAATGAAGTGAAAGTCTTTTATATCTGAATGAGTTAAAATTTCTTGGAAGGTTTCGAGCAGAGGAGAGGCATAATCTGATTTCCCCCCACAGCATCACTGTCTGCTGTGCTGAGAACATAGTGGGGGAGGCAGGTGTAGCAGGAGGCCAGCTAGGGAACTACTGCAACAATAGAGAGATGATGGCAGGCTGTACAAGGTATGCAGGCTGGGCAGAAACAAGAAAAGGAATTACTCTACATATGTTTTTGATGAACAGAAATGGGAGTTTGGCTGAAAGATTGGATGTGCTACAAGAACGATAAAGAGTAGTTAGGCATGCCCTGGCCAGTGTGGCTCAGTTGGTTGGAGTGTCTTCCCATGCAATGGAAGGTCAAAAGTTTGATTCCCAGTCAGGGCACATACTTAGCTTGCAGGTTCAATCCAGTCCCCAGTGTGTGTGTGTGTATAGGAGGCAACCTTTGGATGTTTCTCTCTCTCTCTCTCTCTCTCTCTCTCTCTCTCTCTCTCTCTCTCTTTCTCTCTTTTATCTTCCCCTTCCTCCCTTCCTCCCTTCCTCCCTTCCTCCCTATCTAAAAAACAGTTCTGGCCCAAGAAATGGAAGAAAATACAATGTAAAGACGGGAATGCTGAAGGAAGATGGGGTTCCTGCCAGAAGATCAGGAGTTTGGCATTTACACATGGAGTTTTGGATGTCTGCGAGACAGCCAACTAGAATCAAAAGTTCTGAGGATTGAGTCAAGATACAATTTGGGGAATTCAAAGCAAAAGACAAACAAACAAGCAAAAAACCTAGAAATATAAATGGAGGACTTGCTAGCAGGAAGTTGATATTTAAAGAGACAATTGAATACCATCCTTGCTTGAATATAAAGCAAAATTCACTAAAATGACAATGAAAATTTATCTCCCAGTATGAAATTTAATTTACATATGTATAATATATGCAACAATAAATCCAGTTAATTCACTATACTAGATATAATGATTGATAGGTAGATGATTGATGATAGATAGATAGATAGATAGATAGATAGGTAGATAATTACAAACAGGCAACATTTTTCCATAAATACCTGCTTAGAAAAGGTAGTTCTGACAAAATATCTCCAGCATAATCTTCTATAATCTCAGCTTTCAGAGGAATGAGTCCTAATTTATGACTTCCTTGATTTGATCCTGGTACTATTTAGAAACACAATTAATATTTGAACAGAAAATTCTAAGAATTTACCAATGTGATGCAAATGTTTGTGGAACAGCAAAATTAAACATTTTCATGATTGTTTTCAAAACAAATAATACTTCAATGGAATTGTTGCAAATCAGGTTGTTTAGATCAACTTTATATTATACCCATTAATTCACAAATGTAAATGTATATTGGGTGAATTGATGTATAATTTTATTTCAAGTAAGGTTGATGGCATTTGAGAAACAGTGAAGAAATCAACATTTAAAACTTGTCAGCACCTCTAGGTGATGTTTTTTTCTGTGTAAGAAATGGTCTGGATGTTGTCCTCACAGGCATAGATCCTCCAAAATCATCATCCTCTGATAATGTTAAGACTGTGTTCCACAATTCCTCGTATCCCTGTTTCAAAGTGTTACCCAATTCCAAATTGAGCCCTAGGTAGGAGAGAAAATATGTTCAAATTAATAATTAAAATCTGAGTGATAGTCACCATATTTTATATGTTTTATGAGTATATGAGTTATAAGTGTATGTCTGGGAGTATCTCATAGTAGAGGCTTAAAACAAAACAGAATAGGCTTCGGCATATTTTTCATGTTGTTACTAATGTTATAAGAGAGTAAAATATCTTTGAACTCTCTGAACTTGTGTGACTTTTTTCTAGAACCAGAGTCATAGAAGCATTGAACAGACTGTCCAACCTGTGAGGGAAGGCGTGGGGTAAGGGGGTAAGAGATCAACCAAAGGACTTGAATGCATGCATATGAGCATAACCAATGGATGCAGATGGGGTGGTGCGGGCATGTGCTGGGGGGGGGGGGGCAGGCAGCAGGGAGAGATCAATGGGGGGGAAAAGGAGACTTACATAATACTATAAACAATAAAGAATTTAAATTTTTTAAAAAAGCTGGTAAGCAGAGGAATAGACCAGGAATTAAAATTCCCTCACACATTGCGTGTTATACTCCCACTACAGAAGCCTTTCCCTGTCTTGCCTGACCTTAAGAATTATTCAGGGTGCTTATTAAAAATAAAATTTTTCAAAACACTGTTCTAGAAAACTGTGAGTCAATGAATCTGGGATGACATCCAGGAGTTTGCATTCTTTAAGAAGCATCCTAGGTGATTCTTACACTTAGGCGAGTTTAGGAATCGCTACCTCTATTTTAAAAACAAAATTATTTGTTTCTGCCGTAATACAGACTATTTGTCGCTGATTGTAAAAAAAATTGACAGTTTTAGTTTAAAGTGAAACATATTTCCCACTGTTCCATATGTACGCAAAAAAATAAAAATCTTTAATATTTGAGGGAAAAAACACCTCTCCTTCCCTCACTCCCTCCCTTATCACCCCGTCTCTCAAAAAAAGCACTAGAGTAGTTCTCATAATATACATACATGTAAATATACATATACATATATATATATATATATATATATATATATATATATATATATATCTACACTAATAAAAGAGAAACATGGTAATTAGCGTACGACCACTACCCTTTTCATTGGCTATCAGTGAGTATATGCAAATTAACTGTCAGCCAAGATGGCGGCCGGCAGCCATGCACTGAAGTGAGCAGGGAGGCTTGCTTGCTCCAGGTGACAAGCTGACTTCAACGTTCCCCGCCTAACTTTGCCGGGCTTCTTCAGCTTGCA